TTTTTTTTTTTTTTTTTTTTTTTTTTTTTTTTTTTTTTTTTTTTTTTTTTTTTTTTTTTTTTTTTTTTTTTTTTTTTTTTTTTTTTTTTTTTTTTTTTAATAATCAATTCTGGTTATTTTAATGTTTTCATAGCTCACCAGTTTGTAACTGTTTAAGATCTCTATTCAGTACACCTTTAACATGTGAGTCATAATTTCACTTTTGTACAGCAATATTTGTGCCCAGTGGCGCCAGTAAGATATCAATTGAAGCTTCAGCCCTGAATGCTTTGAGCCCAGTGCTGAATAGATTTTGCCCTGGAAAAGGCTGTAGTTTTAATGTAGTATACTGGAACTTTAGGTGAACCCTGGTAGAGCAGAGGAGGAGTGATAACTTGCTGTGCAAATCAAAATTCAGACAGCTGTAGACTTGCAGAATAAGAAATGCATGTATCTAATACATAATGAAATGAAAATGAATAAATACTAAATATTTAATGCTTGATCTAATACTGCTAGACGGATAGCTGTTGTTTAAGATGCGCTATGTGAGCATATGTGTGTGCTGTAGTGCTATGGTGGGGGGGGTCGCTCCTGCCTCTGGTGTGTGTGTGTGTGTGTGTGTGTGTGTGTGTGTGTGTGTGGAGATTGCATGTCCCCCCTCCCGCTTCAGGGGTTTCCTCCAGGTACTCTGGTTTCCTCCCCTAGTCCAAAGACGTCCGTTGTCTGCTGATTGGCATCTCTAAATTGTCTGTAGTGTGTGAGTGTGTGTGCAATTGTGGCCATTAGGGATCCAAAGATCAATCTACATGCAACGGTGTATATATTAAAAGTTCTATACAAATAACATTCAATTTAATTCAATTTCCCAATGAAATGTAGATGCAAATTACGACACAGACACTTGGACTGCAAACGCATTTATTACGAGTACGAACACTGTTGTTACAATTACGAATACTTTCAAACATACACAATGATGCCACAAAACTTTTGAAAAGACAAGAACAGTTGGATTGCATTTCCTACCTCACGAAACTGACAGGAAAGAGAAATGAAATTTAAATCAATAGTAAAAGTTTAAGAGACCAAATATTTTCATGCTGGTGCCATAGCAACAGAGCCTGTTCATTGTTTTAGTAATCTGCACTGAAACTGCTCAAAAATTGTTGTTGGGTTCTTTTTTTTTTTTTCTTTTTTTTTTGTTTGTTTGACATAAAAATGCTTCATTTATTGAGAAAATGTGGAGGGAAGTGAAGGTTTCACTGATTTCTCTTTGCTTGACAAATCAGATCTTTTCCAAAATGTAATAATAAACAGAAGAACTGCTGTGCTGTGTGGCAAACAGTCTCTCTATATAGAAACGTTTTATAAAAGACATCACAGAGCTGATATGAGTTATGTAAAGAATAAAGCACTGTGTTTCATGCTGTTATAGGAAGAAAATCAATGATAGAATGGCCAAAAAAATGCATTTTTAAAATAATTTCATGACCAACACTTCATACTTTTTATCCATTTATAGTTACATTTAATGTCTGCAAACAAGTTCTTGATCTCATGCTGTTAATACGACATAAAAATGCAGCTTGTCATGTTACCATGAAACCACAAAGCATAAACTCCACTGTCCTGAAGGCATAGAACTTATTGTTACAGTTTAAATGAACATCTCATTAAAGAAAACTTGACCTTATCAATGACTGCACACGTGTTTAACCTTTTTTATGTGGTGCGTCAACCGTACAAGCCCCTGTGAATGAGCTGTTACTATAGAAACAACAGAGTATTAGAACGAGCGCATTAATTACTCTGCAAGTCAATGCTTTCAGATTCAAGAATTCAATAACACTTTGGTACAAATGCATTTTTAAGAAATTCCTAAAAGAACTGTAAAGTTACGATCACCGTAACTGGTAGAGTGTGTGTGTTCATTGTGACGTTCTCTCAACCATTCGGATATATATATACTCAGGGAAATTGATGTCAGCCAGTAAATTAGAATCGAATGATTGACTTAAAAACATTAGTTGGTTGTTTGCATGTGAGAGTTTTCATTTTAGGTGCTGAACTAGAATGGTGTACAAAAATTACATGATGTACAACATAGTTGGTTCAGTTCTTCTTTCAGGTGCTCTATTGTTAACCGAATAACAAAATAATTGACCGCAATAATGACTTAGTATGTAGTATAGTAATATTTTCATGGAGAATCTAATTTTCCTGTATTTCTCTTGTTCACTTTTGACTAAACAACCCCTGCTGTATAAAACTAAATAATGGTAATTTGATCAATAGAGGAAATTCCACTTTCTGTATAAAGTATACAATTAATAATTCTATATTTGTAGACTCTCTGCTTCGGAAATGTGTATTTTATTGTAATACAGCATTCACAAGGCAGTGTTCTAGTGGACAGTAAATTATAATTTAAATGGGAAAAAAGCATAGGTCTTGTAAGGATCAGGATTTCTTTTTAACAAATACATTCAGTCATTGTTGGTGGGGTTTTTTTTTT